TGATGGGATGTCGCGTCAGTCTCAGACAGGTCAGGTCATATCTTTGAGTCTTCCACTGCGCTACATTGTGCTATTTTGTATGTATCGGGATGTCCATTGCTTGTTGATGTTTCGCTGACATTGCATTGTCCATTCTAGTCCTTTTCATCACTCTGGGGATCCTTGGCTCCATATACATTGCCCAACTGGGCATGTATTGTGCACATCTTGGGCCTGGGACAGCAGTCAGGCCAGACCACTGCAATGAATCCAGATCGTGATGACAATTGTCAACAATGCAAATCCAGATGAGTGTCAACCAGCTGATGATTATCAATAATCATATTCGTGTCCAGATACCCAGGAGAAAAGAAGACATAAACAGACGAAGCAGATGAGAGGGAGAAAAGACTTGAGTGGGAAGATAGAACAGTGCCCACTGCTTCTCCGGGCTCCCTCCACAATCACCACCTCAATAATCAATGATCTGAACGAGTATCTGAAGTAACCTTAATGTGCCACGTGGCACGTCTAATCGGTCCCTCATTAGCGCTGGAATAATGTCGACATGAAGACAACCAGGTACGTATCCACGATCTCTCCACAGTCTTGATCACCTCCTGAATGACGATAACCAGAACAGCAACACAAGTCACATCGCTTCGCCTCGTCAACCAGTAATATACATGGCAGCACTGACATCAGCCACCAGTAGTACACGTGGCAGCAGCCACGTCAGCGACAGCGCATGGCAGCTGCCATGTCAGCATGCCAAGAAGACAGGTGGAAGCCAGCCACCATGCTGGACCAGCAGCGCGTCGCCGTAGACACAATGCCATCACAGAGCCAGCGCTCAACCAGCTTCACAGCGTTGAGCCAGAGTCGTCATCAACGCGTGAGGACAGCATCGACGTAAGACAGATTGGTCTGAAACCGAATTCCCTCCGGCCTGGATGCTTGTCTGGGTACCTGCGCACAACAAGTGAGTGTATCCAACCAAGGGCCTGGGTGCAGTACCTTTGACTCTACAGTTGACTTTGACCTTTGAATTTCCTGTGTGCAGCGTTAGGTCACACAGTCAAACGTGACAGACTCAGGCCTGGGCGTGTCTTGGTCACACAGCCCAGCGCAGACCAACTCAGTCTGCGTTGCCTGGGGCTGAGTTCTGGGCCCCAGGCTACTTCTGAACAGGGTTACTACACCACCGTTGAAACGGTATAAATAATGTAGCAGCGCCCAGCCATTCAATTATTCACCTGTGAGCCATGCGGAAGAGCTGCTAAAGCGACTTGTGCATTTGGAGGTCTGCAGGTGCCAAATGACGAAGAGGGCAGAGGAGGTCAACATCTGCCATAGCCGCCAGCACCTAGAGGAGGAAGATGACGGCGGCCATAGCCACCAGCTTGTTGATGAAGTGTGTGTGTTTTAGATTTTCCCCACAACAGCCCCAATTCCACCCAGGTGAATAGATTCAGAATCAAAGCAGTCTTTATCCTATTGCAGACAACGAGAGCATTTGAAATGTCCAACATATTAAAGCAATTTTATAATTAGACAGTTTTTTGGTTGTTCTTGGGGTACCCCTTTCATTGTTCTTGCAGCTCCCCTTTTACTGTGCCTCTTATGCGTAAGGCTGCCCACGTTGATTGTGGTTGAGCGGCAGCTGCCCACATCCCCGTGTGCCTCCATGGCCGACTTGCACGCGTAGACATTCAGGGTAGATCCTAGCGTGTGTGTATCTGTGTGAGAGTGAGTGCGAGTGTCTGATGGTGGATAAGGTGTACGGGTGGGACTTCAGAAGGGAGATCAGACTCCATAGCTGCAAGCTGTAACAAGTTGGCTTATACTGAGTCTCTGGGCAAGGACCATATATCTGAGTTTTCTGTGTGGGCACAGTGCACTATCTCACGCTTGTGGCTAATTCCATCTTTTTGAAAGTTCTGCCATCGCCATCTGTATGCATGCCTGTTGGAAGTGAAGTTGAAGACTGATTTCAGATCTTTTTCCTTCCAAAAGATCTATGATCCCTCCTGATATGGATGGTAGATATGATGTGGACAGGATAGTGGCAGAAGATGTCTACAGGTCCGGACGCAGAGGGAGGCCCCAGCGACAATGTAAGGTACAATTTGCTTATCAGGAACCCATGGAGGATCACTGGTTCACAAGGGATGAGTTGATAGAAATAGCCCCGCATTGTTTCTTATTGTGAGGGGGCTCGTAGAGGTGTCAACATAGTTGATCGGTAAAGTTTGAAGTTTTCTCGGAGGGCCTCGAAATTAGGCCGGCGAGAGTGAAAGGCCTTATCACGTCGCAGATACCAAATCCGAATTTCAGGGTCCCCAAGTCTGAATAGGCCCTGACAGTCAAAATTGAAAAGTAGCCACGCTGGGTATCCAAGAGGCAGAGGTCAAACTGAAAAGGTGCCCGATGACCAGTCACGTCCTACGGTCCAAAAATGCAGCAGCACTCCAAAGAAAAGTCTGGAAGGTACCAGCCCAATATTCCAAAGTGAAATGGTTTCACCCAGCAGACCCGACATTTGCAGACACAGAGATTCGATCCCTAGACCTGTGCCCAAACCCTGTACATTGACCCTGTGTGCTGAGTGAGATTTGATCCCTAGACCTACCCTGTACCTTGTACATAGGCCCAGTGATCTGTGTAAGACTCGATCCCTAGGTCTTTAGATTAGGAGTTAAGTCTGTTACCGTTAGGCTTAGGAAGGTCTGTTCTAGAAGTCTCTATCTGAGTCTACTGAGGCCTAGAGTCTGTTTGTAAGTCTGTAGGCTGTAGAAGGTCGTAGGTCCCTGTAGGCCAGTCCAGTCAGCAAGTACCAGGGGTCGGGGCTGCACGTGGGGAAGGTTCTGGACCACGCTGTGGGTTCCACACGTTTTGGCCAGAAGGCCAAACGTCCGGAAGCTTCCCTGGGTCACAAGTTTTGGCCCACGCCCACACGTTTTGAGGCAGGGCCCAGGTACCTCTGAAGAAGTATAAATAAAGAGGGAGCGTCCAGCCATTCATTCATTCACCAGTGTGCCATGCGGAAGAGCTGCCTTGGTATCTTGTGCGTGGCGGTCTGCAGGTGCCCGGAGAGGAAGTGGGCTGTGAAGAAGACAGCGGCCATAGCAAACCAGTGAGAGAGACACCGGCGTCCATAGCTAGGAGGAGGAAGACGACGGCAGCCATAGCCGCCCAGCTGTTGGTGTAGACAGGGTGCACAGAGTGTGTGTGTGTGCACAGCGTGGACATTCAGGGTGATCCTCGTATGTGCGTTCATGCGAGAGTGTGGGAGAGTGAGGCTGGTGGTAGAGAGTGTTTTGCAGCCATAGCCGCAAGTTGTACAGTAGATTCAGACTGAGTTTAATACAAGTTCATTGTTGTTTTTGAGTTGGAAGAGTTCGCTTTTGCCAGCGGTTCTCAAGTGTGCATGTTGTGAGCAAGTCCAGAGTCGAGTCTGATTGCAAAAGCAAACAGGCCCAGGGGAACCAGTACCAGCCATGTCAAGTGCAGACCCAAGTCAAGCAAAGGCCAGTACGGCAGAGCCCCACTCCAAGTCAATAAGAAGAATGGCCAGCCTCACATTTGCGAGAAGGTGGAAGCGCCATTGGTGCTTGTACGCTATTGCGAGTGACTGAGCGCTAAGGAGCCCTGTTGGGCAGCGGTGGTTGTGGAAGACAGGCGGCCATAGCCGCATAATAGCAGTAGAACTGTAGAAGTAGAGCTGAAGTAGGAGGCAGACGTATCCAGGGTTATGATCCTCATAACAGCAGAAGCAGAGAGATTTTGAGAGAGAGAGAGAGAGAGAGTGAGAGAGGGCCGCGAGGGCACGTACCTGGTTCGTGATGGTGATTTATTTGAGCGACCTCTGCACGTTCTCTGTTTCTTGCTGCTGAGTTCTTCTCCGGGCTGCAACGTCATAGTCCTATAAGTGATGTAGGGCTATATCGGAGTTGTGCGACTGTAGTCTGGGCGCTGAGCGCTGAATAGGGAGAAGAAACACTGGGCACCGTGAGAGAGAGAGAGAGAGAGGCAGAGAGGGAGAGAAGAGACTAAGAGAGAGGGAGAGTTGCATGAGAGTTGAACTGGGTTACATACCTGATTTGTATAATATGATCGTTCATTGAAGTTTATAGGCTGCGCTAATCTGATCTCTCCATCGCTGGACTTCGGTGTCCATTTTCTGAACTCTCATGGTGCATATGCTTGGAGTGTCAATATAAGAGGTTCATTGCAAAAGTTTGAAGTCTATAGTTTGCACTTTCAAACTGCAGACTGTGATCTCTGTCTTTTTTTTTTTCTCATGCTAATCTTCTCTGTATTGTTCCAAATTTGACGGACGTCCGAAAGGACGCAAACTGAGATATCTGAAGTTGCAAAACCAAAAAAGAGAGATGGTGAGTTTCTAGATACTCAAGTCAGCAAACAGGGCCACACATGAATGACAGAATAACCCGGACCCACAATATTCACAACCAACCGAAAGAGCAAATTTAGGGTTTTTTTTGGGGGGGGAAGGGGGAGGAGAACAAAAAAACAAGAAGAGAAGCCCTGGATAGTGCTAGAGGCCTGAACCCAAGAAAACACACCTAGGTATCTCACCTCAATAGACGAACGGCGTCCATCCAGGTCGCAGTTGCCAAGCCTCTGCCGGCTTACTTACAGTCGCTAACTAAGGACCTCAGACTCCAGGATGCTTGTACTCGCACCCCTCAGTAAAGGTGCCCAGAAAAACGCTTAGAAGAGAAGCCCTGAATAGTGCTCGAGGCCAGAACCCAAGAGAACACACCTAGGTATCTTATTTCAAACTAGACAGACTCCAGGATGCTTGTACTCACACCCCTCAGTAAAGGTGCCTGGAAAAAACCTTAGTAGCCTGGAAAAAACCTTAGTTCGCTTCAAAACACCCAGCGAGACTCTAGGTCGCCAACCTTACCCTCTGCCTTCGCACATGTGGTTGACTAGGATATTCAATACTGCGAAATGTCTGAAAAGAGGCAGAGCTTGAAAGTCCAACTTACCTTCCATAATGTCTCAGGAGTGACCTCCAGTGGACCTTCCTTCCTTTTCTCTTGTTCCAACTCAGGTGTCTTTCCCGGATTTCTTTCTATGGCTTGCTTAACTTCAGAATCCTCTGTGCCTCTGGATAACAAATCTGCCATCAATCTCGAACCCCCCTCTGACAAGGATCTCACGACAACCTGCTCAACGCACTCCTGACTGCTCTCCTGATATGATGCAGGAGCATCCACCACCATACCAGATCTTATATCTGATTCATCTCCTTCTGTGCCAGCTGGCATCTCAGCTTCCCTGGCAGAAGGCTGCTCTCCAGTAGACGCCAGCACAGCACTAACAAACAGACCATTCGCTTCATTGGCCACTGGAGCATTCCAGTCGCCACTTGCATCAAGAACCTCACTGGAGAAATCTTGCAATGGCTTGCCACCTTTGCCAGACACAGGATAAACATTCACCAACATGGCACTCGAACCATGGGCACCTCCCATCGCCGCCGGGGGATTGCCATCCGCAGACTGCGCCCTAAGGATTGGTGTCTCCACAGAGTGAATAATTGCTTGTGCTCTGCTTTGCTGACCATTTGGCTTTCTTGCATCCGAATCTAGACTTCTTATCCCCACAAGCTCAATTCTGACAGTTTCTCCCTGGCAATTCGCAGCTGCAGGAGCACACAGCGATACGCCTTGACCCCCCGCACGTCTGGCCGATAACGAGCAATCGTTAACCTCCTCTTCCGTCAAGCTACCTTTGGCCCCGCAGACTCTTCCCATGCTAGCCTGGGACTCAGGAACTTCGGGGCGTGGCCTCACATAAGGCAGAAGGGATTCTGCTCCACCCATGTTTAAGGCCTCATTGCTCACCGGCTTACAGACTCCATTTACAGGAGACAAGCCTACTCCAAACACGTCTGACTTTGCCCGTCTGTGGCCCTGTGGAGCCAAAACCAAGTCTCTGTGCAATTGCCCGCCCTTTTCTGAGTTTGTTGTCTGCTCAGAGTTAGCTGCACTATTTGATTTGCCAATCGATCCGGATCCTCCGCGTGGTGATGTCCTGTTGGGGCTTGGCATACCATAAGGCTTCCAGTTTGCTATGCGTTGATCTGACGCCACAGATGCATCCGTACCCGAGCTGCAACCTTTGAGCTGTGTTTGTTTCTCCATCTTCCGTCGGTGCAAAAGTGGTGCTCCTTTCTGGACATTGTTTTTCTTCCCATCAAGTCCTCCAACCCCAATCCACGCACTCGCCCCCACTCCTACTCTCCCCATCGCGATTCCATCCAGACCTCTTGCTAGCAACGGCATCACCGAGCCTCCTATCAATGGCCCTCCTAGTAACTTTCCATCATCAACTTGCTGCACACAAGAGAATACCAGTTCCGAAAAATACGAACGATGAAAACCTGTCATGATGGAATATTAGATATCCTAGGACTTCATCTCCAGAATCATATTCACTGAAAAATAATATTAGATATACTAGGACTTCATCCCCAGAGTCGTATTCACAGAAATACGAAATGGCAGAGACAAATCCAGTTACACAAACGAAATAAGCATTGTACAAGAAAGCATTCGGAGATGCCACGCCCTGCTATTATTTGATATCTATTTCAACTAGCACTATTTAATTTGTGCAGCAGGTCTCAAAAGACGTTCCCGACTGGGCCCGGAGTGTCCCCAAGGTGTCCCACTTGCCCACCTGACGTTTCCTTTCTTCGTTTCCGTTTTCGAGTTTTTTTGGGCCAGCGCTAGGATCACGTGGAGTTGTTTGGCGTGCCCTGTCGATCGGCCCAGTGCATTTTGGGCAGGGTGTTCGAATAGAAGCACATAGCAGAGGGTACGCGACTGTCACTAACAAGGTCCACACCTCATATCCGGGTAGCACTTATATGCACATGGGTGGGATCACGGCCAGAGGGCGGAGAATCTTTTTCCTCTGCCAAATATGGGTGGCAGTTCCTTAAATGCTCGTGGCTGGAATCACGCCCAAGAAGTGTTTTGTGTTTCTCGTTTTTTTTTTTGTTTGTTTGTTTGGTTCGTTTGTTTGTTTTGTTTGTTTTGTGTGTGTGTCATTCTTGGCTTTGGCTGCTTTTGCCGTTTTTGGATTCAGGCCAGGCCATACTGCGAGGAATTGGCCCTCGCGAGGCCCGTATGCCCAACACTGCCGGGTCCCCCAGCAAGCATCGTGCCGTGGAGCTGGGCCTGCATTCCAACATGAGGCCTAATTTTGTCATTTCTGATTGACGGTTCGCCAGATAGTTGCCACGCGCCAGTTGGTTACGAGGCACACCACTGTGAACACAACATTGTGAGCCTCTGGGCTCCTTCAAGCACCGACGTGGCCAGAGGCCTTTTGGCCAATAGGATTGCAGCGAGCGATGCTGGCCCTGCCGCACAGTTGGGCTGCTTAACTGTTGCCGGCCCTGGCCACTCTCTGCATTGGGCCTGGGCGCTGACACTTTGGCCCAAAGCCAGGCTACTGGGAGCGAGGCCTCCAAGGAAATTGTGTTAAAATGAGGGTGGGTGGGGGTTTGTTGGTTGGGGGGTCGGTTTGGGCGGGGTTGGTTTTTAGGCTCACCTTTGCACTGTTGTTGACTCTCTCTCTCTCTCTCTCTCTCTCTTGAGCAGGTAAGCACTTTCCATTTGGGAACAAGGTTACCTGTTGCAGCTTCGCCCACAGTAAAATGAACGGAATAGTGTTAAAATAAGGGTTGGTGGGGGGTTTGTTGGTTGGGGGTTGGGTTTGTGCGGGGCCGACGTGTTTTTTAGGCTCACCTGTGCATTGTTGTGACGCAGCATCTCTCTCTCTCTCTCTCTCTCACGTGCTTTTTTTCCCCCCAAAACGAGGAGCCCCGATAAACCATGGATCACAGGGAACAGATACTACACTTCCTCGGGCTCAGGGCAGGGGCGCATAGTCGGTTAGATTGGGGTCTCTCTCTCTCTCTCTCTCACACACACACACACACACACACACACACACACACACACACACACACACACAATCAGTTTTATGCCTCTCAGTCTTTCTTCTGTTGTATGTCCTCCCCTTGATTTTTTCTATTTTTTTGTATGCCCAACTGGGCACCTGTAAGTAGTGCCAAACAGTCGGTGGTTCCTCGTTTGGAGTGCCTACTGCACTCTTATGGGGGCCGCTCGGTTCGGGATGTCTGAATTGCCTGTCAGTGATAACAGATGTTTGTCAGAGTGACTCCCTGGCTCAGCGGGTGGTAGGAACCAACAGTATGTGGGGTTCAGCCGTGATGTGAGTAGGTCATGCGCTGCTTTGCTCCGTGTTGGATGTGTGGACGTCCTCGTCTGCGCTCCGCCGCTGCCCTGCTGCCTGCCCTGCTTGCTTCGCGTGTGTCTCTCCGCGAATTTCTGTGTTAGCTGTGTGGTGTGGCCGTATTGTTGGCGTTGCCTTGCGCTTCGCTGGTTCGCTATCGTGCTGCTCATCCGCTGGTCGTGCCTTCCGTGTTTGCTGCTAGAGTGCCCTGTAGGTTGGTTGCCTTGTTGCTGGTGCCTTGTGCTCTGCTCCACAGTTGCCGAGCTGCTGGTCCGCGCACCCTGTCGTCCCTTGCAGTGTGGCTGCCCTTCTTATGTTGCCCTGTGCTTCACTACATGGTTGCCGCGCTGCATGTCCTGCGTGCCATGTCGTTCCTTGCAGTCGTTTATTGCGTCGTGCAGCCGTGTTGCCTCTACTGTGTTGCCTGGTACTCCACAGGGTTGATGCCCGCTGCTATGTTTCGCTTGGGTGTCGTCTGCCTTCAACAAGGGTCAAAGGGTTCCTGACCCAAACCATCAAATAGGGAGATTCCACAGATTGTTGAGGGTTCAGCCTCCTGATGAGTTGGTGCAACTCCGACGAAACAATCTATCATCATCAGTTTTTATTTTAGTTTTTTCAGTCTTTGTTTCTTGTGCTGTTTGTCTGCCCACCCTCCTCCCCTCTGTTACATGCCCAGTTGGGCGATGTATATATATAGCCAAGGATCCGCATGTGATGAAAAGGACTGAATGGACAATGCAGTGCTAGTGGAATCTCAACAAGCAGTGTACATCCTGATACATACAAAAATGGTGCTTTGTAGCGCAGTGGAAGACGTAGATACAAGTCCTGACCTGACTGGGACTGACCTCTCTCACGTAGTACAAGACAGCGTACCGGAATGCTAGAATACCAATGACTATCCCAATCAATGTCGCAATGCAGACCAAACATGCATCATCCTCGTCACAAGGTGTGAAGGGGCCTGGCGCTACACACAGGAATAATGCCCCAGGTCCAGATCATGCACAGACGAAGATGAGGGAATCAGACGAAGAAGAGGGGGAGATGGGAATGTCGTCAACACCAAGTCTTCGTTACAAGTCCCATATAGTCCCTCATCAAATGTCTGAAGCCCAATGTCGAGTCTGGATCCAAATGTCACCAATCCCTCTCCCGCGAAGTCTGCTGATGCAGTGAAGTCAGGTAGCGAGAGGGTGAGGGGGAGATGGTGGACTGAGAAGATGAAGAAGAAGAACTCTCTCTCTCTCTCATGTACCAGGTACTAACCTGTGAAGATGGCGCTGTGCTGCAGGTACCTTGAAGACGAAGCTGGAGCTATGGCGCTGCAGGTAAGTCTCCCTGGCCTACGCCCAATCTCTCTCTCTCTCCCGTACTCCTCTAGCTCCAAAAAGCGCCCAGCGCTGAAGACTACTGCTAACACTACTACTACTGCAGTGCTCCTCCAGAGTGCTGCTGCCAAATCCTGAAGACTACCTCCTGCCTCCTGAACTGCACGTGAAGTGCCTGGGAAGTCCCTATGAACTACCTGCAGCCTGCAGGGCGGGCCAGTCTTACATAGTGCTGGCCAGTCCAGGAGGCTACCCTGGCGTTGAAGCTCAAACAAAGGTTGTCTTGAAAACTGGCCCGAAATGGCCTGTGCTAAAACCCTGGTCTGGTGCCTAAGTTTCACGGCAGGTCGATCTTATGAGGGCCTGAAAATGGCCCTCCGTTTCAGGCTGAAAAGACTCAGGGCCTAGAGGGCCCTGTTTTAGGCTGAAACGACACAGGGCCTGTAGGCCCTTTTTTTCAGGCTTTCAAGCTGAAAACGACACAAGGCCTGTAGGCCCTTGTTTTCAGGCTTTCAGGCTGAAAACGGCACGGGCCTGAAAATGGCCCGCGCAGCCTGTTGCAAGCGCAGCATGTAACACCCCCCCCTCCTTATGAAGTCAAGTCGGGTCGAGGGCAAATCTGGCGATCTGAAGGTGGAGCCTGGACGCGGGTGCGACGTGGAACCTGGACGCGGGTGCGACGTGGAACCTGGACGCAGGTGCGACTCAGGACCCAGTTGGCAAGTCAGGCCAACATCAATATGCACAACTTTCCTTCGTTTAGCAAGATGGCCCTACTATGGATGGAAGGAAGAAGACACTGCCTGGTCGCTTAATGTTTGTCGATAACGATGGTTCTACTATCGAGTTAGACGACAACTTCCAGGAGGGAGTAGGTTCAGAGGCAGGCAGCGTAGAAGCTTCAGGGGCTGAAGTAATCGCTGCTGTAACTCTAAAAGGTAAGGCGACCGGTAGATGCCGCGGAGGTTCCCGGTCTAGGAGTCAAGTTGACCCCAATGCTCCTCCATGGGAGAAATCGGGTCTTACAAAGGACGTGTGGAGAGATCGTTATTCACGGCAGGCCTGTATTCGTTGTGGCCAATACGGCCATAACCGGTTCAAGTGCCGCAATACGAGGTGACCGATAAGATCCCGCCTACGATGGGGCAAGTGTTGGGATTCTCCCATCCCGTTGGTAGCAACGTGGCTAGTTCTTCTGGCAGTGCTCCGGGAAACACGTCGGCCAGTAGGAATAGTAGTTGTTCCTACCAAGGTCGAGGTGGTGGAGACACCCTCACCATCTCGAGAGATGGCCCAAGCTACTGACTCCAGCGTCGTCCCGCAAACACGTTCAGACCCATCCAGCGTCGTCCCGCAAACACGTTCAGACCCGTCGAGCCTTTGTTCGATGAATGTGTTTGAGTCCTTGAGCTAGAAGAGGAGTGGTCTAGATCAGACCCGCTAGCTTCTTGGACGACACTAGTCAAAGCACCGAAGGGTGAGATGTTTATCAGCGAGGTAGTCATTGGCGGCCGCAAGGCCGGAGCCTATTATGACACTTGCTCGACAAAGAACTTTATTAGTCGCGCATGCGTTGAGAGGCTGCGTTTACAGGGGCGAGTGCAGCACCTGAGTCGACCTGTGGAGTCGACCTGTTCCAACAAACAGCGCATGGTAGTCAATGACTACCTCCAGGAGGTTGAGTGTTGCTTCCCGTACGCGGGAGGGGAATTGAGACATCGCGTCTCGTTCCTAGTGAGTGACGAGCTCCCAATGGATATGTTACTAGGAATGTACTACCTCTCTGTGGCTCAGCCCCAGTTTGACTAGGACCGAAAAGTGGTCAAGCACTCTTTGCCAGGTGGAGGGACCGCCAGATTGCACAAGTTCAAAGCTAGCAGTCTGATCAGGTCCCATGGATGCATGTGCGCGGCCGCATTCTATAATTATTATAAGCAAAATAAGGAGGAGGGTATGTACCTAGTCCATGTCTCTGCTGCAGGCGAGCCGGTAAAAATGTCGTCGGAGATAGAGGGAGTAGTTGCCAAGTACACTGATCTATTTGAAGAGCCGACAAGGGTTGTATAGCGGGAGGACGTCCACGCGATAGAGATTATCCCAAGGTCTAGTATCCCGAAGGGTAGGATCAATCGGATGTCTCCAGGCGAGCTCGATGAGCTTCGCCGACAACTCAAGGAACTCGTAGAGAAGGGTTGGATCCGTCCGAGTGTCTCTCCATGTGGATCTCCAGTACTATTCGTACCTAAGAAGAAGGAGGGTACACTTAGGATGTGCATTGACTATAGGGGCCTCAATGCCATCACTGTAAAGAACAGAGACCCCTACCGCGCATCGATGATCTGCTAGATAGAGTGCAAGGGTGTCTGAACTTCAGTGAGATACATCTGAAGTCTGGGTACCATCAGATTGCAATCCGGCCCGAGGATCAACACAAAACCGCCTTTCAGACCAGGTACGGTCTGTACGAGTTTGTGATGATGCCTTTCGGCCTTTGCAATGCTCCTGGCACCTTTCAGCACGCTATGAATCGGATATTCCATGACTACTTGGATAAGTTTGTCATCGTGTACCTCGATGACAGACTTAATTTTTAGTAAGACTCTCGAGGAGCACGTTGCACATTTGGACAAAGTCCTCAGTCTCCTGCGACAGCAGAAGTTCAAGATCAACGGTGAGAAGTGCGAGTTTGGCCGCACCCGTGTCTTGTACTTGGGTCATGAGATATTCGCGGAAGGGTTGAAGCCCGATGACGCGAAGGTGGCCAGCATTCGTAATTGGCCACGTCCTCAGTCTGTGACTGAGATGAAATCTTTCTTAGGAATGACAGGCTACTATAGGACTTTCGTTAAGAATTATAGCATAGTGGCCGCTCCTTTGACTGATCTGACCCGCCTTGACACCCCATGGGAGTGGACAGATGAGTGCAAGGCTGCTTTCAGACATAGGAAGCATGCGTTGACGCACTACGAGGCCGCTTATAGTCACCACGGATGCCAGCCAATATGGCATTGGCGTCGTGCTCGCGCAGCAGGAGGAGCCAAAGTTGACGCCTGTAGAGTACATGTCCAAGAAAATGTCATCTCAAAAGTTGGCTAAGTCCACCTATGAGAAGGAACTCTATGCGGTGTATAAGGCTCTGACCCATTGGAGGCACTATCTCCTTGGGAGGTTCTTCATCCTCACGACTGATCATCAGACCCTGAGATGGATGAGAACTCAGTCGGTGCTCTCAGACACTCTCAAGCGTTGGATCGAAGTCATTGAGCAATATGACTTTGACCCTCAGTATCTGAAAGGGGAGTACAACAAGGTTGCTGATGCCTTGTCGCGTAGACCTGATTTCTCAGGTGCGCTGATTACTGAGTTCGATCTGACGGACAATGTTACTCAGTCCTTGGCGGAAGCCTATCGCGAGGACCAGTTCATGTTTGAGATCATACGCAGACTCCAGGCAAAGGACAAGAAGACCTTTGTCAAGTTTGAATTGGTCAATGGCTTGCTGTTCCTTGAGAAGGCAGGGAATAAACGATCGTGTGTCCATAATAGCGAGTCTTTGCGTAGTTTATTTTTAGGTGAATGTCATGATGCCACCGACCATTTTGGGTACAAGAAGACCGCAGCTAATCTCCTGCAGTGGTTTTGGTGGCCCACGATGATGCGAGATGCCCAGCTGTACGTGGATGCTTGTCAAGTCTGTTAGAGGGACAAGCCACGTACGCAGGCTCCTCTTGGGCTCTTGAAGCCCCGTCCGATTCCGGAACGGCCTGGAGAGAGTCTGTCCATCGACTTCATGGATACTCTGGTCACCAGCAAGAGTGGGATGCAACACATCTTCGTCATCGTGGATAGATTTAGTAAGTACGCTAGGTTAGTAACAATGCCGGAAACAACAAGAACGGAGTATGTGATCCGAATGTTCAAAGAGAACTGGGTCAGAGACTTTGGTTTACAGAAGTCTAGTGACAGGGATGTCCGATTTACCAGCGAACTGTGGAAGGCCGCTGCTGCAGAGCAGGGAACCCAGTTGCAAATGACTTTTGGGAACCACCCAGAGGCCAACGGCCAGGCCGAGCAACTGAACCGCGCTGTACAACATCTGTTGAGGCATTACATCAAGCCCAACCAGGTGGACTGGGATGAGAAGCTTGCTCTCATCGCCGGTTTGTACAACAATGCGGTACACAGCGCCACCGGGGTGAGCCCGAANAGCTTGCTCTCATCGCCGGTTTGTACAACAATGCGGTACACAGCGCCACCGGGGTGAGCCCGAACAGTTTGCTATTGACTTTCAAGCCTAGACTACCCTTAGACTTTCTCCTCCTTGAGAATCAGTCAACTGCTGCACCAGGTACTCTGGAATTTGCTTACCGTTATGAACAGAAGATGCAGCACACTGTAGAACAGATGCAAAAGGCACAGGCGGCTATGATAGAATCTGCGAACAAACACCGTCGTGAGTCTTCATTTCAGGTTGGGGATAGAGTCTGGGTTAAGTCCTCAAAACTGGGACAGGAGCACGGGATCTCCCGCAAGCTCATGCCACAGTAATTTGGACCATGGGAAGTCTTAGATATTGTTGGAACTGATCCGGACGGACCTTCTTACGTAATCCGGATCCCTGGTCATCTCCGCACTTACCTTCGTCTTTCACGCCTCCAAGCTTGCACCTTTCAAGGAAACAAATCAGTTCCATCTCGTCGTTCAATGCTGCCCCCAACCATGGATGGAGAGGTCAACATCGACAATATTGTGGATCACCGGAGCTGCCAGTTCCAAGAACAACAGGCAGAGGACGTCCTCTGAAACCGAAGCTGCAGTACCGCGTACGGTTCCGACATCATACTGATCCGAAGGCGGACCGTTGGTTTACCAGGGATGAACTCATGCAGACCGCTCCGCAAGTGGTAGCCCACTATGAGAAATCTCTACAGAAAGGAAAGCGCCCCGATGCTCGAAGACTGAGCTTCTCAGAGGACTGTTGAAGCTAAGGAGGAGGGAATGCGAGGCCACTGCCTCTATGAGCCCCAATCAGCCCCTTTTTGGGAGCCTGTCGGCCGCCCTAAGTGAAGGCAGGCTCGATAAGGCCCCTCAGGGCCTTATTTCGGCCTCTGTGCAACTCAAGGAAATTCAGGCAGTTGCACAGCGCCAGTTGGTTGAAAGAACCCAGGCCTTGGGCCGCCTGTGTGAATGTATGGAAAGCAGGCCCTGGGCTGGATACGGGTACTGGGCCGAACACAGGCCAAAGGCAGTTGGGTGCATGCAACCAACTCAGGCCCAAGGCCTGTTCTCGAACGTGCTGGGCCTCGGGCTGACGGGCCCTACTTGAAGCTTCGTGGGACTGGACGCAGGCAGGCCACTTCGATATAGCATAGGGCCTGCCTCCTCATTGGGCATTCGGGTGCTGGCTGCATGCTGCGCTATTTTGCTGGCTGGCGCCCACGCGCTCACGGGCGAGCAGGGAAGGAGCAGGCAGCCATAGCCAAGCTGCGCTGCTGTAAGCTGGGTGTGGCGCAGGGTGGTCCTTGGGTGCAAGTTGGGGAACGAGGTTATGAGTAAGGCGAGAGACATACCTGGTGCTGCAAGCGTGCGACATTGGTCGCTGTATGCCCGTACTTCGGAGAGCTGTTGTCGTCAACTTCAGCATTGTAGTATAGGCTAGATAGGATCTGCCACATGTAGTCTGGGTGCCAAGCGCCAGATAGGATATCAGCTCTGGTTCTTCGTTGATGATGATGATGGGACTATTTCAGCATTGTCAATTATGAACTCTTGGTGTGTTCTTATTTGGTGAATCTCGTGATGCAATTCTGCTGTTGGTTCGAGGTCACGACTATCTGGACTCATATGTATGATGCTGTGTTGATTGCTGAAGTTCGCTATTGGTCATCTTCCTTTCATCTCTCTCTCTTTCTCCCGTGTAGTCTGTCAGATAGCGAGCAGTCAGGTAGCAAGAGGGTGAGGGAGAGATGGTGGACTGGAGGAGGAAGAACAAGAAAAACTCTCTCTCTCAGTGCCAGGTACAAACCTGTGGAAGGTGCTGCCTTGTTGCAGGTCCATCGAAGACGAAGCTGGAGCAATGGCGTCACAGATAAGCTCCCAGGTAAGTCTCCCTGGCCTCCGCCACTCTCCTCCCTCTCCACGCTACTAGCAGCGCCCAGCGCTGAAGACTACTCCTATTGTACTCTACTACTACTGCAGCGCTCCCAAGAGTGCTGCTGCCGAATGTCCGAAGACTGCCTCCTGAACTGTCTGTTGCCTCCCGGGCGGACCAGCACTATACAGTGCTGGTCCGGCTGGGAGGCTGCTCTTGTCAATGCCGGATGGCCCCAGTCCCTAGCGCCCAAGTTCAAAAAAAGGTTCTTGAAAAGGGTCTAAAAATGGCCTGCGCTCATCCCTGGTCTGGCGCCGAAGTTCAGAACCGGGTCGACTTTAAGAGGGCCTAAAACTGGCCTGTCTTCTGAGGCTGAACCGACACAGGGCCTGGAGGGCCCTTACTTATTCTTGTTTCGCCTGGTCGAGCACTGGGGGGCCCATCTGGTGCGCAGTATGCCACACTGTAAGAGAGGAGATCAAGCCACATGAAAAGAAGGGAGAAGAGAATGACAGACACTGGCAGATACTTCACCGCACTGGGAAAAAAAGGAAGGAAGTTGAATATCAAACCATGTATTAGCAAACCATTTATGTCAGCAATACCTGATGTCTATCCCACACTCCATAGAGGTTCCATCTTCCATCTGTTGAAGAGGAAATGGCTGCAGACCCACTGCCACTTTTCCTCACACCCTTATCGCGAGTAGAACATCCGGGTGGGCTGCGCACTGGAGACGGGGCCCATGTTTTGCAGGAAGAGTTCACTTTGCTCCCGAAATTTGCAGTTCCCGGACACTGTGATGTGCTTGGTGGCACAAAGGATACCGAAGCTGAAGCTCCAGCTGCGGAAGATGTCTTCCCATTTCTTGCTCTTGAAACACTTGATGACCTGATTGGCCTCAGAGTTCCAGCATCCGCACTTTCAGTGCTTCCGGGACTTCCACATGGTCGCGTCCCCCCTCCCCGTGACTCCAAGACCCCTGGCAGCAAACACGAACAAATGGCGGTTATGGTTTGAGTGAGGAATACATTGCAACAGCACAAGTGGTTAACATGGACTCCCACTTTTCAGCCCATACGTTAACCCCCCAAACACTGAAGGGTGAATTTTGCATGACAACGCAGTTTTGCCTTACGGTTTTGGGCTCCTTTGGTCTTTCTTAAGGTTTTTTTCCCGAACTTTTTTTTTGTTGGTTTATATGTTGGATTGGTGACAAGTTTGGTTTAAAAGGTATGACAGTTTTGTCATAAAGACCATGAAAAAAAAATCTTGAAAATTTAGATCTTTGATAACCGCTTCTCTGCAGCAGACCACAGAGGTCAGTTACCCTCCCTGTTCATGCATGTATGCTGTCTTTTCTTTTGCCCGTGGGTATGCAGTGCGGTGGCAGCACTTACTCATACATATTATAGCATGATAGGACCATCAGGCTGCCTTTCTGTGTTCCGGGATACATCTCGTTGGGGACGTTTTGCGATACCTCTTTGTTGGGTGTTGCTTTGTCCATGAGAGCACTGACTACTGCCTTGTCACTCATTTGTTTTTGAGTGCAGGTCGGTTCCTTCCTCGCATCTTCCGCCCCCACCCCCTTTCTTCAAGGGTGTGCAAGTGTGCCTTTCAGGCAGACAGGCGCCTGCGCACTCGGGGCTCAACCACACCGACTTGTTCAGCTATGCATTCTCCATCCTTCTATATTGCTCGTGGCTTGCTGCAGGGGGATCTCGTCTATCACACCGACTTCGCAACCTTGCACTCTGAATTCTTCACTTTATATCGCTTCTCGGTTCTAATGGGATTTGGTGTTGATTGACAGGAGATTAGGTGTTTCAAAAAACGTGCATGACGGTTTACGCTCTTTGACACTCAGTGATACGTGCTCGATATAAGTCGAGCGATGTAAATGGAGCCAAGGATCAGCAAAGTGATGAAAAGGACTCGGATGGACAATGCAGCATCAGCGAAGCATCAACAAACAATGGACATCCATATGCATACAAAAATAGCACGATGTTGCTCAGAAGAATCAAAGATATGACCTGACCTGTCAGACATTGACCCGACTCAGCACATCATACATCGCACATATGAGGGAGAAGGGAGGGACCGCATACATGGAAGATAGGACCCTCCTTGATAACGCACACAGGTAGCAACCACGGTTGAGGGATGGAGGAAAGGAAGACAAAGATGGAGATGAGGATGAAGACCAAGATCGCGATAGCAAAGTCCAAAGATAGTCTCCCTGTCGAATGTCCAATCAATGTCTGGCCTCGTGATGTCGAATCAGATCCTGGGCCCCATAGCCCGATTTACTCTCTCTCTCTCTCTCTCTCTCTCTCTCTCTCTCTCTCTCTCTCTCTCTCTCTCTCTCTC